CAAAATCCCACTGGAATTTATATTTCAGGTTACAAGAGATGTAGTTACAGTCACAAGTTACTTAAGAATGACACTGAATAAGCATTTGGCTATTTGGAAATGACAAAGGAGGTTTCATTTTTAATGTTCATAAGTCATCCAAATTAATTAGCGCTTTAAAATGGCAATGAATCACTTCCCAAAATAATTTGTATTGGCTAAATTAATTCCAGTGAAGGGAGCCAATTTGCTGATTGTAAATTATCTGAGTCCCTGACTAGCTCCTGTGTACATTGCGTACTACTTATTAGGCTACTGGGAAACAAGGGATGACTACTTTTCATCAGTGAACAAGATTACAGTCCTATTAAGTGACCAGCTTATTGCGGTGCAATCGTAGGTTTCTATTTAAAGAATTCAAGCCAGACATCATTAAGAAACAAAGCTGAATGTTCAGAGGAAAGGAAAAATAAACGGAAGAAAAGCTCATTTTCTGAAGAGATGCACCAAAAACCTATTTGAAGGGAATTTCCATCCTCTTAGATTAACAAGGAAACGTTCAGAGATGCAAGACTATGAAGATAGTTCCATCATATGACAGTGCCTAAAGGCAACCTGAAGCCTGGAGTCCCAGAGCCTGCTCCTCTCACTTGCGGCGAGATGATTGTTTCGAGACTCCCCTAAATTAAAATTACTTTGGAAGAGCAACAATGAGGTGAAAAAACACATACACGGATTTCTGCTCTCCCCTGTCAGGCAGAGGAGACGCTTTCGTAGCACTGCCATGCCACCACTCTCAGAGCCTTCCTCCCCAGTGCCAGGAGACCTCTGCATCCATCCAGTGTGTACCATCGCCCACCCGCTCACTGCAGCGAGATGACTTGGTCAAAGTCTGCAGTGCTGTTCTCAATGGATTTTCCTTCTTTACCCCTCTAAAAGAAAAAAACGTATGTACATAAAGCTTTACCTAAGCTTATTTGCATGGCATTCTCCTGCTCTTATCTGCATCTCCTCACTGGTATCAAAGTCTCAACATTTCTGCTTGAGAAATCCTTCCCTGGCTAACCTGCTTATCAGCAGTAATGAATACTCATGCAAACAGGTACAAAATTAAATGGCTTCTTTACAGTGATTATGATAGATTGAGCCATGCTTAATCTACATAATCAAATTGCTTCTGTGTTCAGTGGCAATACCTTTTTGCTGTCCTGGGAGCAAGTTCAGCCTTGGTTTCTCTTTTGACAGTTTCCTTCTGAGAAACACTAACCATGACTGGGAAAGGGGCTACTTGAGACGCAATTATTTAACACAGCTGTATGAGGCATGTCTCAAGCTCTGCAATATGGCAAAGCAGGTCTGAACAAAAGGTGTCCCCTTTAGGGAAGGGAAAAACATCACGTAGAACACAAAGGAAAATGAAATACAAACCAATCTCCTCCAGGTACCTAGACAAAACTGGAGTGACCCTCCCAAGACAGATAAAACATCTCTACCCACCTAGCTGCAATGAGCTACCACCACTACTATAATTTCCTCTCCCTATATGCAAGGGCATCATCTGCTTACATGCTAATGCAGTAGAAGAATGTATTTTCCGATCTCAAGACCAGACTGAAGTTTCAAATCAAGCTGGCTAAATCCTGCCAAGGTGCCAGAAACAAAGGATGGCACAGGTATATTATTAAATCCTTGACTTTGGAAATAAAAGGATTTGGTTCAGGGAAGGTTCTGAAAGGCATCTCTGTCTAATCCATGTTTATCAGGTCACTTAGGCCAAAAGTGTCCTGAAGCTTTCTCTACTTTTAAATATTGATCAATTTTTAGAGGAAAATGAGAAGTGAGAAATTGTTTTCCCCACAAACTATAGATAAGTGCTATTTAAAAAAAAAAATATTAAAACAGCCTATTTACCTTTGTCCAAAACACAGTATTGAAAGAAGAAGAGCAAAGGGTTGCTTCCTGATGTACCTGCTGAGAAGTTTTTGTTGGCTTCCCCACCCCCCACCCCCCCCAAAGGGTCTAACAAAACTATTAGCCTACAAGCTAGTACTTATTTCTAAACACCACCGAAGAGTTGAAAAGTGAGTAAGCCTGATGCAAAATGCTAATAAGCACTTACGGAGAACAATTTCTCTCCCTCATTACGGCTTTGACACACAGGGAAAGAAGGTGCCAGCTGGACCCCTCTGGTTGGAAAGGTGACAGCTCTAGCAAAAAGGTCCCTGCATCTTCGTAAGCGAAGGAAAGCCAACACAGAGGGAAGAAAAAAGATGGGTTCTGGCAAGGGCTGCTGGCACAGCTTGACTTTCCCTCAGGAGGAAGTAAAAGCTTGAATTACATAAAAATAGATTTAAAGAAAGAATCAGTGACATTTCATCTGAAAGTTTTAGCTAAGTTTTAATTAGGATCCGAGATTTTGCACTTAAGTGCATGAAGTGAAGGAGTACATGTACTCATGCTTCCCAAGATAACTGACAGATCTGAAACTTACTCATCTCATCTTGAAAGGTTAATTAAAGAACAATCCTTGAGAGCAACACCGTAGGGAAACTGAGGAGAGTCTGCTCCACCGGGGAGCCCTGGGGAAAGGCTGGCACGCAGCGCCTGCATCTCCCCCCTTGGAAATACTCCAGGTAGAAAACTGAAGCTACTGCCCAGTGCCCATGGCCTGGAGACAAGCGAGACAGCTTTGAACCAGCCCAGCAAAGCACAGAGAACAGCACACCCACAGCAGTATAAAGCTTACTCGCTGTGCTCCCTGCGGCTCTGGGGCAGGTTTCCCAGCCTGCGCTGGGCTCTGTGATGCTGCTAGGCTGGAGCTGCTTCGATGCACGCACCCTTCAGCGGAGCGGGCATGATCACCACCAGTGGTGAAAGGTAGGTGTGGTAACTCTTATAATTAGGGAACTAAGGCAGCATGACTCACCCAGGATCAAAGTCTGCAATTAAGCCAGAAATAAGCTGTGGGTTCCCCGATTCCCACAGATGCTGACAGCACTGCGAGGCAAAGGCTTTCTCTAGTTCATTCGAGCATCATTAAAAAAACACGTCAGCTTTTAGGGAAGCCTGTATTTGAAAAATTTGAAGCTCACTTGAAAAATTTTATGCCAAATTTAAGAAACATTATCAAAATGGAGAATGGAGAAAGTTTCATCATTTGAGCAAGACTTTGTCGACATAAATGACCTTTAGCTGTGCAGTAATTTAATTTCCTAAGGACACGAGCAAAGTTTCAATTAGGTCAGAGAGGACCACTGTGCTGGTAACAAGAGGGAAGAGAAATGTGCGGCTGCATCGGTGAAGAGTACTTCTCGTCTCGGGGGGACTGGAGATATGGTGCAAGGAAGCATTAAGGCCTCTTGGCAAAAGCAAGCGAGGCAGCTTGCTCAGTATGTAAAGCAGGATGGCATGCACCACAGGCAGAGGTAAAATACAGAAGCAAAAACCACTCAGCCAGTGGCTCTCAGGCAGCTTTTTACTTCTTCCTTTACAAATGAGAGCCAGGTACTGTGTCTGCCACGGGAGAAACAGGCTAATTTAGAAGTCCAGTGAAAAGCAGAAGAATGATGGAGGAAAAAAAAATGATCAGAATAGCAACAGATTCTGAATGCTGCTCAATGGACTGAAGCCTGAACGTTATTTGGTGCAATCTTGATGGGTCTGATTTAACTGTTACATTTTTGCACAATATTTTTCATACTGGTTATGAAGAACTGCTTAACAGCCCTTGGTGACTGCTCATAAGTTTCTCAGTCACTTAAGCAGAATGTCTATCAGAGTAAAGCACATTAATCAGAGAAAAAGCTGATAAGGAGCAGACGGCAACAGAAGTAACACCATGGGTGAGACATCACTGTTAGTCTGTTGCCTGTAGAAAAGCTGTGCAGGAGGTCATTGAGCAGGACAACACAACACAGAAACACTGCAGTGAAGAAAGTTCAGGGAAGGGCATTTCTGGACACACAGGTTCCTGCAGCACATTTTTATCCAGCAGAAAGCTGGATTATGCAACTTCTAACAGCCACTCTTCATCTGAAACCTGACATCTGTGTATACCAAATCCTCCTAAATGCCCAGCCAGAAAGAAGCTGGTGACTCTACATCACTTAGTCTCATGCCCACTGTTCAACCACAACAGCCCACTTCTTACTTTTAAATCAAAAGTGCAGTTTCAGACACTCGAGTTTATTTATATTTTGATTCAGAAGCATCTATCTGAAGTAAGTTTATGCCAGTGACAACTGCATCACAGTTGTGGGGGCAGTTTCTTCATACGGAAACAGATTGGTAGACATTACCCTTCCAAAACACTACCTTTGCAAATGCAACATCTCAGGACATCAATTAGGCAACATTCCACTTTAGAAGACTACTTGGAAGACTGTATTTAGGATGAGCTCCTCTCCTCCCCCTCCCAACAAGCCCATTAAGTATCTGATCTGCAAACCCTTGTACATACAAGAGAGTTACTTGCTCAAGTTTTTCTTTTTATCCAAGCTTTCAAGAGCACTCAGAATTTAGAAGCAGCATTCTGTTCTCCAGAGCAGCGTTGTGCCAAAAGGCCACTCACAAAAGCTGCGTCAGGTCTGCCTGCAGCATTAGTACACATACTACGTATATGAATTAAGTGTCACTGGAACAGTCATTGAGGTGACTGCAGCCTGGCTTGCCTCCTTTACATACCTACTCATCTACACACAGGGGCTGTATTTCAATGAGCAAGCCCATATAGACACAGTAACATTGAGGTAAGGCTCCAAAGTGAATATCTGCAGGTGCCTTCATTAAAGCAACAAAAGAAACCTGCTAATGCACCCACAAAAAACATTAAGTGCCAGAATTACAATGCTGCTTTGGGGATTTCAGATGCCAAGTAGAGAAATTCAAACACCCAGGTGGAAGAGTTAAGAGCACAGCAGTCCCTTCTCCTCCAGCATCGCCCAGCATTTCAGTTACCCTGCAGATCTTCACGTTCTCACACCTATCTGCAATACCCATAAACAGGAAAATACCAAGCAATGCTATTTTGTGAGAAAGCGGGAGGCATTCCTTTTGCACCCGGCTGGGTGCCTGAGCAGAAAGCTTACCCCATCTGGTAGTGCCCTCCAGCATACAGCACTCACAAACTCATTTGTGTCATCTTCTTTCCGGTCCTTGTCCAGGACACTTTTGACTGTATCAAACTTGAATGTCAGCAGTGTCTTTGAGAGGCCCTTATAGTATAGGTAAAGGGAATTATTTTCGCTTCCTAGAAATAAAAAAATAAATATACAAGATTAGGTTCTCGCAGCAGGTACAGAAATAAGGCTTCTTAGCTCTTTCATTGTTTAAGACAAGACCAGACGTTTCCTCCTTGTAGTTATCGTCACACTCATGGTGCCTTGGCAACTGGGAGCGTTCCACAGCAAACTTTTATGATGCTTAATAACAGAACCAGGTTTTATTACAAGACAACTGCAGCATGCAGCGCACTTGCAAAACATACAGGATCCCAACCGTCCCCGTAACTTCCTTAGGGCAGAGCATCTACACTGCCACGTGAAACACCGCTACACCCAGCCTGCTCAGCGTTACAGCTCTGAGGCAGGTAGCGCTGTCACAGTTTTGCTTGCCGTAATCAAGTATGACAGTTTGGTCTGTGGAGGTTTAAGTAAGAGAGACTAGACAGTGTGCAGGCTTTATTTAGAAATCCATCCCAATTTCTGCCTTGCAAGCTGTAGAGAGATCAGAGTATATACAAGCTAAGGTCCTCCCTTCAGTGCTGGCACAGCTGTCCTGCTCATCCCACAGCAATCAGCCTGTCACTGCTTTCCCTCCAAGACCTGTGGACTTACGGAGGTTCAACAGTCCAACTTAAGCAGTGAAAAGACAGAAACTGCCAAAGGGGTAACTGCTTCAAGATGATTTAGTCTTCTAGGGAGCTGTTCACAATGAGGGCATTAGTACTTTGCCGTGCAGAATGCCATACCAAGTGACAAGCACAGGACCACTCGTGTGGTCCAGGCTACTGCCCTTCCTTAGAAAGATGCATGAGAATGTGTCAGTTGATAAACTTGAAAGACATAAGTGATATCAACAGTGGCTACATTAGCAGTTGACTTTTGGTGACAGCAAGTCTGAACTGTCATGTACGAAGAACTCATCAGAAGTGGGAGAAAACCAAGTACAGACCCCTGTCGGTCAGGGGTCATTATGCCATTCCCTGGGAAGGGAAGGAGGGTGGAAGTTCAGAACAATCCTCTATTAAAAAGCCCATGCAGCTACATAGCACAACTGCTGGTGTGCTTTGCAAATTGAGAGGCACCAGCTCTGAGGAGTCCCATTAGCATTTGTCAGTATGGCTGCTCTACTCACCACAGGCAATGTAGTCTCCATTAGATGCGAGCCCTACGAAGTTCTTCTCGTTGATGTGACCCTTGAAGGAGCGCAAGCAGTGAGGCTTCCCTACATTCCACAGCTTCAGCTGACTGTCTGTTGACCTGAAAACAATACCTAAAGTTACCCTGCTGCCATATGTCAGGTACTCCTTCTTTGCAACCCTGCTCCTTAACACCCTACTTGCAATGTAAACATAGGAAGTCTTAGTGCACTCCAGGGGATTTATCCCACTTTCAATCATAAGCAACTCAGCTTGAGCTCAGAAAGGTTATCACATTATTTTAGAAGCCTGTCAAAACACATTACACATTTGAATAAAAAACTTCCCCCAAGTATTATTCTTCCTTTCTCCTATCAATTACAGAGTCTGCCACTGAACCCTACAGCCTTTGGGCCATCACTGCCTCCTCCAGATGCAGGACACACTGAATATTTTTTTTTTTTTTAAACTTTTACAGCATGGACAAAAATCTGTTCCCTTCTCTGTGCTGGCTACAACTCTCATTCATACCTTTACAGGAATCGGGTAGGAAGAAGCCTCCTCCCTCTCCAGCTGCCCTGAAAGCACATTCTCCTCCTCCTGCCCAATACCAAGCAGCAGCATACAAAAACCTATGGGGGCTCAGAGTTGCTATTAGCATTAAATTGATGTGGTTTTCTCACGTGTAATTGAGACTGCATGGATATAGATCTCAAACTTCCACTTTTTTCACCTTGGCAGCAAAGCTAAATATTACTATTAAAAATATAGAAACTCTGTTGGGATTAAATCAAAATTGACGTTTTCCATTGTTCCCCCAGATGCAAACATACCTGCCTTCAAAATATTTTCCTATTTACTGTGAGCAAACATTTTCCATTTGGCAAAAGAAAGGAGGTGGAGGTACTCTCCTCTGCCTGGCAGAGCTCAACTGAAATAGGAAGATCCCAGGTTTCCAGGAGATACATGATTAATTTCTTCCCCCAAACCTGAGGGGACACAAGCCCCTCTCACTTACCAGGCATTATTCTCTAGCAATCGCAAGGCTCTGATATCCTGGCACTTGCTGACTTACAGCAATGCACTCCACAGTATGTGAAGAAACACTGATGTGGTGGGACTGGAGCCCCGTGAAGCCACCCTTGAGGAAATGGGCAGTGCTGTTCCAATCTTAAATTTGAAAGAGACTGGGAGCAGGGCCTGTCAGCCTCCTGGGTGGGAGGGGAGGGAGGGAGGGAGGCAACGCTCCCCTCTTACAAGTCACATAACCCAACCTTGCTGCTTTCTGAATATTAAGAGCTGAAGGGAAAAAACCCCACCCAATATCCATCAAATATTACCAACGACATAACAAATTAGCCCTGCACCAATGTCACATTTACCTAAAAATATAGCACAAAAGAGTAGAGATGCACCTCGTGCTATACTGCAAAAACCTTATCTCAGCCCTCAATGACAGCTGGAATGACAAAGGAGCGATAAGGGAGCTGCAGCAAGATTTGTTAGTCATCTGTAATAATAGTATGAGGTCAGATCAGAACGAAGGTATGAACTTTATCTATAATACTGTGACTTAAGCAGGAGTGCTTCCCTCATCCCAGGTCTTGAGCAATGGGGGCCCTAAAACAGAGTATTCAGCTTCCCTGCCTGATGCTTGTTCCACGTCCATCCCTGCCCTATGCTGCTGCTCACTCTCCCTTCCCTTCTCTTGTCCTTACCATCACAGTAGCAGCATAGCTCACAGAAAGGGCAAAAAGGTATATACTACTGCTTGTTTGGCCCCCAAGTACAGGGAGGTACCTTCTGTGCTATTAGGGCAGCTGTATTTTTAAAATGCTGCTTTTAGAAGCTTCAGAGTTGCCTGAAAACTAAACTTTTCTGAAGGCAGGGTAAAGCAACAAAAGACTAATCCCTGGTCTACAAGCTGTCAGATTCCTGTGACAGCTTCTGCTATTAGCTAACCCATCAAGAAGACCTCATATATATATAGGCACTTAACCTCTGTATTTTCGTAGCATACTTTCTAGATCTCTTTATTAAAATAAAAACACTTAGTCTATTACTAATGGAATGCTTTTACTGTTAACAAATTCCCATCAAGCTCTAGTCACATTTGCATTGCTTAGGATAAGCACGCCATAAAAGAAGAAAGTTATCTGCCACTGGACCGCAAGGAGAAGAAAAGGCTGGTGTTGATCCTGCTGGTATTACACTGCTCTTCTGGTTTCATACCCTCTCCAAAAAAATATCATGGATGCACTGCTCTGTTAAATTTGTCTCTGTAAATCAGCACTGCAATCAATGTGTTGTGCTAAATACCAGGCAGTTCTGAACACCCTTGAGGTCAAAACCTAACTCTACAAGGCAAAGTAAATCAATGCAATCTATAAAACAGCTTTAGCTAGAAATCTAGAGAATCTGAATATACATATAATTTTTTTTCTTAAAAGAAATCAGTGCATGATTTTTGGGAATCACTACTGCTGTCTCCTCTCCTCAGTTTGCAAAACAGACATGAAAAAATCTTCTCTCTCACATTTCTTTCTGTTCACGCAGAAAAAGATAGGTGAACCCTCCAGTTAGTTCTCTCACCCTGTTGTTGCCTGTCCAAGCCTGACAGGTCCACTGATATTCCTCCCAGGACTGTAGGATAAACTTTCTCAGATGGTTGGCTCAAGCAGGACAGGGCCATTCTGTCCTGAAACATCCCATGGATGATGCTCCACTTGATCATGGCTGTAAAACATTCCCAGCCTCCTCCTGCTTCTGTTAAACACTTTCCTTTTACCCAGATTTGGTTCAAAGCATTAAATTTAATTTTCTCTGTGTTCTAGGTATGAATTTGCACCCTTATAGAGTTATAACGTTAAAGGAAATAAGAGAGGAGCTGATTAAATATAAACAGTACCAGAAGCCACCAGGGAATCTTCCATCACACAGCTCAGCTCAGAGTAACTCACTAGCAGCCTGAATACACCTTAAAACACTCTGCTTTGGCTCCAAGCTTCTAAAGCAAACTGTGTGAAAACATGGGACAGAGCCAAGCTAGATAATCACTGGCTCAGTATAAGGCAGCAGGCGTACTTTCGGGGACTAGATCTACCCCTGCGATCCATCCCTGCTGCCCTCGGGTGTTATACATGAGCGTGCTGAGATCAAAGATTCCCCTGCAGCCCCCCAAGGTTGCTTGCATTTTCCCCACTGGGTAAGAGGGGCTCAACTCTGGTTTATTGAAGAGGCTTATAGCCAGTCTTTCAAACCGCTCACTGTGTGATCTGACAGACACGCTCATGCCCACAGGATTGAAAACTGAGGCAGCCACATCTGGCTTTGGGGCAGACACATCTGGCCATGTAACTGAACAGAAGCTGTAGAAGAATATTCTTCAGGGCCTCCATAGCAGACCTACGGTCTACCCTGGCTGAAAAGCTGCACACCCTTAGGACCACAAAACACAGCTTCTCCTTGTCTGCTTTCTAACCCAAGTATAACCCTAAAAAGTGCCTTCACAGAGCAGATTAATAAATTACCAGAGAACAGATCAGTCAGTCCTACTCGAGTTGCTTTCAGGCTGTGGCAAAACCTCCTCTTCAGACAGAGCAGTACCATTTGATCACTTCTGTCACTCATCAGCTGTGTTTTACTGGAGATTACTACCCTCAGGGCTCTGCCAGCAGCCTTCTCTACAGCAGAGCTCTGGTCAGGAGCATCCTCAGCACATACAGCACTTTGTAAAAGGAGAGTCCACCTGCAGCTTCCCAAAGTCAGGGCTTGTGGTCAGGAGCTGCATCTAGTTGTCTTTGTATTCCTCATAAGCATTTCAGCCCCACAAGACGGAGCAGAGCCAAGTGACACCAGGAATGAATTTCTATTTTTATCTTGGAAAAAAGCAATGATCTGCTTCCCAAAAGCACAGCAGCTAGCGAGCGCGCTCACCCACGCAGGTGAACTTGCACCGTGGCCCTGACGAGTGCCAGAAAGCAAGGGCTACAAAGTTTTTAGCCTACATGAAAGGCAGTACTTACGCAGAGACAATTTCTTCCCCGCTCACAAATTTTGCATAGGAGACTGCCTTGCGATGCCCTTTGAACACCATGATTGGCTGCTTAGTGTTGCGAAGATCGTAGTAGTGAACACAGTGATCTGCAGATAAGAAAGAAGAGGGGCAAAATTTAATCAGATGGGAAGTATGCACAGGACCTCTAATAGTCAGTTCACAAAAGTCCTGCCTCCAGCTCTCGCATCTCACTTAAAGCCTCGTCTAGGATAAACAGTCTGCACTATAGCATAGGAATGTTTAAGCAGGCTTCTTAAAACAGCCCCGAAATTCTGTCTGTAAAGGTCCAAGCAGCCTTTCAAAGAGTCAGCGAGGGGAAAAGGTGCATCCAGATGTGCGTGAACACACATGCCCTCCTGCAAACACCGTTTAGCCCATGTGCAAGCCAGCAGCTAACAGGACCCTCGCCTCTCCTGCAAACACCGTTTAGCCCATGTGCAAGCCAGCAGCTAACAGGACTCTCGCCTCTCCTGCCTACCTTCTTGGCTCCCTGCCCAGCCACTCTAATTGCCGGTTCTAATTCCCTGCACCCCCTTCCTCAATCTGTCCCCTCTTGGAAAACTGTTGCAGAACCCTAGGCTAAAAGCTCAGTCTGTTTGCTACTTAAATGGGATCGTGGAAAATAAAGATTAAATTTCTCATGTGTACCCTAAATGGGTAACCTCCATACTTTTGGTTTTTGCTTCTCTCCTTTGATTATTATTACTAATCGAGACAATTAGCATTTCTGCTAATGAGAGAACAGACTAAATTCCAGTTCTTCTTAAATTTTAATTCACAGATGTGCTGCAGTGCCACAACCACATAAAAGGGATCACAACAGAATTAACGATACATATTATTTTCTGTACAACTAAGTATCAATTCCCAAGAAAAACAGAAAAATAAGAACAGACAACCCCATGAGACCCAAGCCCCGAACACCCCCAGGACTCTTTCCAGCTCAACAAGGTTAATAAGCTTCTCCCTTCCTGACTTCCAGCCTTTAATGTTGAACTTCATTTAATTATCTCTTGCTATTCTGGAAGTGCAGGGAGGGAAGGCCACACACATACACATGCACAAGGAAACCGAGCTGGACGCCTTTTTCACCAAGCAACTTGCAATACCCAGGCGTCATCTGAAAACTGCTCTGACCCTCCTCCCACTGAAATAACACCCCACCAATGGAAGTTTATCACAAAGATTACATGGAAATGAATTTAAATGCCAATAGCTATGGTTCTTTTTGTATTTGCTATGGTTCTTTTTGTATTTGCACAGCATTTCAAAGCAGGGCTCTCAGTCGTACAAACACCACCCAGCTGTCTCAAAATCCCATGTGGTTTGAAAGATAACTGGATTTACATCGATCAGGCTACAGCAGCTGCCGTCAGACTGGCAAGGGTAGCTTCTCCCCCATATGAACGGGCTAATTGGTGGCCGTGGCAGGACAGGGGGCTGTGTCAGAAACACCTTCAGTGAAACGAGGCAAGCAGGCAAGTCACCTTCCTCTCTAACTGCTTCTAGCATCTTGCTCTCTGCATAATATGACGGATTCCCACACTTCTCTAAGAGGTTTCTGGCTCTCTCCCTCCTTGCCATGTAAAAGTAGACACTCCAAGCAGCCACACCAAGTTTTCTCCACCACTTACACCAAACTGTTGAATTACCCAGTTGTGTTGAAACCCAGAAGCTATTGTGCCCATTACTGCTAGCACTGAAATGCCGGGAAGCGCTGTACCCCCAAGCACTCTTTCAAATGCTCCTGTTTCTTCTACCTCTGAAATATTAACCCTCCGAACAGCCAACACTATTGACCAAAATCCCAGAGTGTTGCTACCATTTGGAAATTTTAATTAGCTTTATAACAAGATGATGTTGTGACAGGCTTATTCAATAAAGAGGTTAATTTTCAAAAGGACTTTGAATTAAGTGTTAACACTCTGTTAAACAAGATTTGGGCATCCTGGTCCCTTCCACCTCCCTGAAAGCCTGAGCCAAAAAATTCCACAGTTTCTCATCTGGCTGGTATACCTGCTGCGGGACCTACGAAACAGTTAACTAGCAATTATTATTTTAATGAGCAGAATGATTCTAGCAGGGCTTTCTATTAGAAGCCAGTTAGTGGATAAGGCTTTCAAGCCTGTTTTTGCTCACAGTTTCAACCTCCTCTCCAGCTGGCCTGTCTTTAGGATGCCTTTTGAGCACCAGATTTCATCCTTCAGAGGGTGGCACAGAAAGGGGTACCTGCGGATGGCTGCGTGTGAGCAATGCAGAGAGAAAAGAGCTAGAGCAGGAAAGACAAGTCCATTTGCAGAGCAGAGACGCAAAGTTGCATTCACCTTCTAAACATCGCAATAAACAGCTCGAAGCCTGCCGGCATCTGGCCCCAGCACCGCGTGTGCGTTGGCTTGGCAGGGCAATCAATCACTGTCTGCTCTGATCATGATGAGTCCGAGGAAATAGGCAAGGCCAGTGGGTTCTAAAATTAGCCACTTAATTATTAATTGATTATTTCAGCAGCTGAAGTGTTAGTGCCCAATTGAGGTTTTTTTAAATTCAATTGAAGCAGCTATTTTTAAGTAGATATATGAAGACAAATGCTCACTGCATTCATTAAAATCAGAACAGGTGGTCATGTTTTACAATTAAAAAGATACTCTCTCTTGTAGGCCATATGGACTTTCTGAAAACATGATAAAAATCCCATCTGCTGAGAAAGCAGAGCGCGCAAAAATGAAGCTAAATGAGAAAAATACAACTCCCAGGTACCCCAGCAGCAGCCTCGCCTGGTGGAGTTTGATGAGCTAAAATTGTCCACAACCAGCAGCATCCCAGGCACGCCAGCAGGTCCGAGGCGAGGTGCTCTGGAAAGCTCTGAAAACAAATTAATCCTAAGAGCCAGCTGAAGGTAAGGAAAATAGAGTGGGCACTGAGGGGAATCAAACACTTCCCAAACTCTGCAAGAGCCCGTAAGCTCAGCCAGCACCACACTGCTGGCTCCTGCGCTTGGCATCCTGGGAAGACCACGGAGCATACTCCACCACTAACCAGCGACGCACAAGGGTATTTGTTTCTTGCTTTGCTCCTCAAACATGAGCATTAAAATAATCATTCAGCAATTTTTTTGCAGATCAACAGTTTCCACCCCGACCAGAAAACTCACTTAGAACAATTTCAACTTGGAAATGACATTTCCACAGTTAAAAGCCTCATGCCTAACCCTTTGGCAGCAACAGCTCACTGCTTTACTTCAGGCTTAATTGAAATATATACAAAATAATGGGAAAGAACATATATATATATACCATAACAAATTAAACACTCTGAAGCAATTCTCATCTAGTTCAATGTCACTGCAGAAGCTGAGCACGACAGAATTCTGCTGCTCTGCCTTCTGAATTCAAATGTTTGCTGGCAGGCTGCATTTTCTTATATACTTTTTTTTTTTAAAGCCATGTCAGAAGGCAAAAAGGGCAGCTAAGCTCTGCCACTGATGCTTAAAGGTCTCTGACCAGAAGCCTGAGTTTTTAAAAAGTGCTTTTCCAGAATGCTCAAGAACTACTTACTTCCCTCAAGACACTTTCATCTTCGAGCCATCTAGTGACAACTAATCAAGAATTCAGACTTTTCCAAACTTCCGAAAGATCTCACCACCTCTTCAGTAAATATAATCTGTGTCAGCAAAGGATGGCATCCCTTGTTGCTCGGCAGCTCATAAATTCACAAGACTCCAGCCAGCAGGAGCAGGGCGAAAGGGAAGGATGGTTTTGTGATGTACAAGGTGAAGTGATCAGCACCTTCTCAATCTTTGTCCTTGGACTCAGCTTGGTTGCAGGGATAGGAACACAGTGAACAAACTGATGATGTGGTTACTTGACCTTAGGAAATCAGGTTAAAAACTTCTTAAAAAAAAAAAAAAAGAGAGCTGGGAATTGCTAGTGGAGCCAGCAATATCTTAGGTAATTTCAGAGCTGTTCAGAAAGATGGAATTGCTCTTGGATCTGTAGTCATTTAAACTAACAAAAAAAAAAAAGCAAAGTCTATTTTTGCCAGAAATTATTTTCCTGACACTTAGATTTGTTAATAAAATTCACAAAACAGCTGTTACTAGCAGGCTTAAGGCTCACATTGCCTCTTGCAAAGCTCTTAAAATGTACTGAGGAGCAGCAACTCCAAGAGTTTCAAAGAGAAAGAGTAGGCAAGGGTTAGGAAAGAGCATCCCATAGCAGCAGTTTACATTTCACTGAGTACCAGTACATCCAAGGTAGCAACGCACACAACCCAAAAAGCAGAGTAATTTAACTCTCCAGGTACCCAGCAATTCCTAGTAACATTCATATTCCAGGGCACGTGCTTCACGCTCACCTTCACCACAAACATTAACCAGTCTACAGCACGAGCTAACTCGCAGATGCCCCTGAGGCTTTTTTCCCCCGACCACTTACTCAAAGGGATATCAAGGCAAGGACAGCAACAAAAAAAATTTATCTGCAATGCAACAGTTTTATATTCAACGGATGTAATGACTAGAAAGCCCCAAGAGCTGCATACAAAGGTTCTGTGGCTCTCCTCTGGAAAACTGAATTGCTGGAGAATCAATGACCATTTTTCTTGTTTCAATCATTTAGAAATGTGTATTTCTCAACTGTTCAATATTTAGATTATTGATCCATTAAAAATTAAGTAATTTACATTACTCAGATTTTTCAGTGCTTATAGTCTTGAGAATGTAAGTGGTGCTCGCTGCTACATGTCAGATGAATGTTACAGCCAAGAAGATGCCCATATTCAGAACCAAAGTTGTACGGTAGGGAGCCAGATGTTAATTAAGTGGTCTGTTAGAAGTCTTCTGTTAACAAAGCACATTTTGGACTTTTTTTTTTTTTAAATAAAAGATCTTCAATACCAAACTTAGGGGTCAAATTCATTTCATATATTAATGCTTTGGATACAGCCTGCAGTCCTGCAGGCCTTGCACTACAGATGTTTTACTGAAACAGAAGCACAGGTTAGAGCATAACCTTTAATGTGTTTCTCTTGTGCTTCTTTGACCATGATGATCTGATTTGTTGCATCTAGTAACTCACGTCCTCAGTTGATG